GTAATTCTACGCGTAGTAATGCAACGCGTGGTAATTCTACGCGTAGTAATGCAACGTGTGGTAATCCAACGCGTAGTAATCCAACACGTAGTAACCCAGCGTGTGGATATCCAACGCGTAGTAATCCAGCGCGTGGATATTCAACGCTTAGTAATCCAACGCGTAGTAATCTAATGCGTGGTAATTCTACGCATAGTAATCTAACGCGTGGTAATTCTACGCATAGTAATGCAACGGGTAGTAATCTAACGCGTAATAATCCAACTTTTTCCGCATTTTCCTTAGTAATTCCAAAACGAAGCTTCACACCCCATTTCTGTAAATTTAAATCTTACTCAGAATCACGTCCCCTACCAATCGTCAAACACCCTGTACTTGCTCTATCCTTATACTACCAATTCACAGCAAAAGGATTAAATTGATCGGTAAATGAGAGGCGTTCTCGTCCAAGGGATTTGGGAAGCAACTCGGAATATCTAAGCCTGTCAGTTGGTAAGCTTGGTCCTGTCTCTCCCTCCCTTTCTTATGGCTCGTCTAAACCTTTCCCGCGTTTCGTCTCTTTAGGAGTCCGCATCGAAGGGGAGGATTTTACCTTGCTCCTCAAACCTGCGCTGGCACAGCGAACACTTTGAGTCCCCAAATTCATCGAACTCGTCCTCGTAGTCGACCATGATCTGTCCGTCAGCTGCAACAGAACAGCCCACGATCTTCCTTCCTCTCTTCTTTCCATTTTTTTTACCTTTTTTTTTTGTTTTTAATTATATTCGCTCTCTTTCCGCCTTTTTGTTTCGTTTGTTGCTGTTTCTTTGACGTTGGAACGGATAAATCTTGTCTTGAATTTGAGTGGCGATTAAATAAAAAAATTACGAAAACAAAATTTGTCTAATGATTTTATTTAAGTTATTACAACATGGAGCACCTAAATTTTTACAAGAAGTTAACACATTAGCTGTCACGTCTGTCAACTGAAGTTTCCCTTGAGAGACTCACAGTGTGAAATATAATATAAAACTAAAAAATTTACATTGTAATTACATTATAAGGTTTATTAATTTACTCAATTTTTATTTATCACGTTAATGTAAATATTTGTTTTCATCAAATTTTAATGGAGTTTTCTGATGTTTCCTCATGAATGTGGCAGCTAACGTGTTCAGAACAAGTTGCACGAAACAGAAGTGATAAGTTGAGACAAGTATAAATGTATCTATTAGAGACAAGACCTATCCGCCCCCAGGACCAATTCTTTCGCGTTTCTTTTCTCTTAAAAGTCTCATCGAAATTAATCATCGATAGTCGCGTGACAACTGATCGGGCAAAGAGAAAATTTCAATCGTTGGGCTAACTAGACCAAGCATTACCCGCATACCGCCATGGTTAATCTGTTCGGGGTAAAGAGAACCGCGGCGCATCGAGCCGATTTATTCGATCGATTCAAAACGGTGGAATTTAAAAGCTTGTTCGAGAGAAGTAGCTTCGGCGACCTGAAACGAAGTTTTTTCTTTATCCATGTTTCTCTGGAAGAGAAAAAAGGCGAATGCGTTTCACTCGAGACAAGCTGCTGGATCATTTCGAGAATGAAAAAAAAAAAACTGGAAAAAAGAAACGCGTTCAAGCTTCTCACTGGCTGCGTAAGCTGTTTAAAGAGCTTATAAGCGACCAAGGTAAGGTTACGAAACAATCAGCTCAAACGAGTTCGTTAAACACCGGATGAAACGGAAGAGAATCGAATTAACAGTCTGATTCGAGAGATTCGGGTTCTCGAGAGATCGTGGGACGATCCGCGACGAAACCGTGGAACAGACACAGGGAACACGATGGTTTCGTTAACGATGGGCCGTTAGAAAGGACCTCACCCCAAAAGCAAACCACGGCGGGCTCGGTTAAAAAGCGAGACAGGAACCAAGGTTGCCAATATGCACTTTCTAGAGGAGCTATGTATCATCTAGATATATACATATAAATACAAGCTGTCGCGAACGTGTGTCGCCAAAACTTGCAGCTAATCTTTTTGTCCAACAATTACGACAGTAATCCAACGCCTAGTAACCCAACGCGTAGTAACCCAGCATGTAGATATCCAACACGTAGTAACTCAGCGAATGGATATCCAACGCGTAGTAACCCAGCGTGCGGATATTCAACGCGTAGTAACCAAACATGCGGATATTCAACGCGTAGTAACCCAGCGTGTGTACATTCAACGCGTAGTAAACCAGCGTGTGTATATCCAACGCGTAGTAACTTAGCGTGTGGATATCCAACGCGTAGTAACCCAGCGTGCGGATATTCAACGCATAGTAACCCAGCGTGTGGATATTCAGCACGTATTGGGTTGTCCGGAAAGTTCGTGCCGATTTTAAAGGGAATTGAAACGCAGCTCATTTAAATTTGGTACACATTTATTAAATTATATAGGTGCCCTTCTGTTCTATAACCTTCCACCATCTTTTATGCAACTTGAAAAGTCCTTCCTGAACGTCTCAGGCTTTTTGGTGAAAAATTATTTTAAATAAAATTTCATGCCGCCTACCAAAAATCGGTACGAACTTTCCGGACAATCCAATAGTAATCCAGCGCGTGGATATTCAACGCGTAGTAATCCAGCGCGTAGATATTCAACGGCAACGCGTGGTAACCCAACGTGAGGATATTCAACGCGTAGTAATCCAGCGCGTGAATATTCAACGCGTAGTAATCCAACGCGTAGTGATGCAACGCGTGGTAATCCAACGCGTGAATATTCCACGCGTAGTAATCCAGCGCGTGAATATTCAACGCGTAGTAATCCAGCGCATAGTAATCCAACGCGTGAATATCCCACGCGTAGTAATCCAGCGCGTGAATATTCAACGCGTAGTAATCCAGCGCATAGTAATCCAACGCGTGAATATCCCACGCGTAGTAATCCAGCGCGTGAATATTCAACGCGTAGTAATCCAGCGCGTAGTAATCCAACGCGTTGGTATCCCACGCCTAGTAATCCAGCGCGTGAATACTCAACGCGTAGTAATTCAACGCGTAGTAATCCACCGCGTAGTAATCCAACGCGTGGATATCCCACGCGTAGTAATCCAGCGCGTAGTAATCCAACGCGTGGATATCCCATGCGTAGTAATCCAACGCGTAGATATCCCACGCATAGTAATCCAACGCGTGGATATCCCACGCGTAGTAATCCAGTGCGTAATAATCCAACGCGTGGATATCCCACGCGTAGTAATCCAGTGCGTAGTAATCCAACGCGTGGATATCCCACGCGTAGTAATCCAACGCGTGGATATCTCACGCGTAGTAATCCAGCGCGTAGTAATCCAATGCGTAGTAATCCAACGCGTGAATATCCCACGCGTAGTAATCCAGCGCGTGAATATTCAACGCGTAGTAATCCAGCGCATAGTAATCCAACGCGTGAATATCCCACGCGTAGTAATCCAGCGCGTGAATATTCAACGCGTAGTAATCCAGCGCGTAGTAATACAACGCGTGGTAACCCAGCGTGTGGATATCCAACGCGTAGTAATCCAGCACGCGGATATTTAACGCGTATTAATCCAACGCGTAGTAATGCAACGCGTGTTAACCCAGCGTGTAGATATCCAACGCGTAGTAATCCAGCCCATGGATATTCAACGCGCAGTCACATCTCAATAACCGTTAATACACAGAATTTAACCACGATTCGATTTTGCCACAATTTTCGCGACACATTCGAGACACCCTGCGCGACGAGTGTACGAGGATGTAGATATATGTATATACACGCGTAAAGAGAGAGAGAAAGGCACATGTGTAAGTACAAATCTACGCCAACTATTAAGAGGAACAGAGACGAAGCTTCTTCGTGACGGTTCCGCATGCAGAGTCCTCATCTCCCTGTTTCCTAAATCTTGGACAAGTGTCTGCTCACTCTCAAACACACGCACACACATGCGTTCGGTGCGATCTTGACGCTTTGACCACCAGTTGGCTCACTCCAATTTAGCTACTTGGAGATAGTTAAGAAAGATAAGATTATAAGAAATTGGAGGATTTTTGGTAAAATGGCAGTCAACGCGTAAGGTCGCGAGTACGTTGGCGTTAGAATTTTGGTGAAAAATCTCAAGCTGAGACGCCGACGTATTCGTGGCCTCGATCGACGCTTTCGATTGAAGAATTCTTTACTCTCGCGACCCCTAAAAGTGCAGAGCGTTAGACGCGTTCCCGTTTTCAAAGGGAACGCTCCATCGCGGTGAATGCGGTGCAGAAAAGGTCAAGCAGTCGAACGGGAAGCGACGTGAACACAATTTTGCATGCATTGCGAACTTACCTGACCACAGTGATCGCGAACGCGTTTGTTCGTAACGAGAGTAACGGTGAGAAAAGAAAGTTGGCAACAACGAAAGATCGCGCGGGAAATCGATCGATGTTTGATCGGAAAATCGCGGTCTTGAAAGGCGGTCTGCGCAGGCCGGACAAAGGCGACGTAATCGGAAATGATCGATAGTTAATAGAGTGGAGGAAGGTGGGCAAGGCGTGAACGAAATTAGGAATTCTTTTTCGGTGGTGGCGGGCGGATTTATTGATCCGTTGCCGTCGTCCATAGAAACGATGGTGGGGTTTTTCCAGGAATGGAGCAAAGGTTCGAGGGATGCAGCGCCTCAGGTGCATCGATCCGGTATCGCGAAACTTCTTTCACCCAGCTTCTTCGATCTCGATATCAATTTTGAAGAGATTCGACCCATGTGCTGGGTCGATTCAGGGTACTTTCGAAAGCGACAATTTGCTGAAATTTTTGCTGAAGAGAAAGTTTCCAATAAGGAGTTTTTTGTCTCTTTTGCCACCTTCACAGTTCTCAGGAAATATTTCCGAAAATATTGATTTTACAGAAAAAAGTTTCAGACAAAAAGTAAAGATCGTGTGAAGCTCTATAAAAAAGGTTCTATACATTTTTTATGTAAATATATAAGAAATACGTGATTAACATTTTCAAAATTTTTTATTGAAAAAATACTTTTTTTTCTGTAATAGTCAAAATTATAGATTTAGGTAAAAAATGAATGGGACATTTTTTGTAGAACTTTTCAGGAGCTTCATTTTTTGTTCAACAATTTTTTCTGTATAATTAATACTTCATGAGATAATTAACAAACACTTTACTTCTGAAGGTATATATAAAAAAATACTTCTTTTGTCTGTGTCAGTCAAAATGATAGATTTACGTAGAAAATGTATAGGACACTTTTTGTAGATCTTTTCGAGAACTTCATTTTTTGTTCTACAACTTTTTTTGTACAATTAATACTTCATGAGATAATTAACAAACACTTTGCTTCTGATGGTATATATAAAAAAAATACTTCTTTTGTCTGTGATAGTCAAAATGATAGATTTACGTAAAAAATGTATAGAACACTTTTTGTAGATCTTTTCGAGAGCTTCATCTTTTGTTTCAAAACTTTTGCTGTATAATTAATACTTCATGAGATAATTAACAAAATCTTTACCTTTGAAGGTTTTTATAAGAAAACTACTTCTTTTGTCTGCGATAGTCAAAATGATCGATTTACATAAAAAATGTATAGGACACTTTTTGTAGATCTTTTCAAGAGCTTCATTTTTTGTTCTACAACTTTTTCTGTATAACTAATATTTCACGAGATAATCAACAAAGACCCCGAGAAGAAAAATTTCAGCCTGTCGGTTTCGTAAGTTTCGGCGAAAAATGAAGAAAAATCGACGATCACGTGTTCCGAACATCCGAGTGGCAAGCGATAAAAAAATCGTAGTCGTGAACTAACAAAATTGCCGTGTTCGGTGCATTGCGACAGTACAGAAGCGTGTCATTTTAAGGATGCAGTAAGAATCGACAAGAGAAAAGAGAACCGTCAACGAACGGAATGACGAATAAACGACGTATCGAGTTTCCCGAGTCACCGTACAGCCCGAAGCTGTACAGCTTTTTTCCGTAAAGAGTTTGACTCACCTCGCCAGCTTACTTTGATCGGACAGGTGATTGTCTGGTTTTTGATGAGGTACGCGTTCAGCGATGTCAGGCTCGGACTTTTTCGCAAAGTACCCTCGTCGTTCTTCCACACGTACGTGATCGCAGTTTGTTCGTACGATACTGAAAAAGACAACGCGTTACAATATTCCTTCAAAAACAAATACACGATTCGATCACTTACTGCTCTCGATCGCGAATGAACACAATGGGTCATCGAAAGGGAAGATATTGAGTCTACCCTGGCAGGATAGGATGAGGTGACGCCTAAAACATTCCAACCAGTTTCACCTTTTATTCACGACGTTTAGTAGAGGCTTTACGCTTATGGAACGTCGATTCAAACTGCTCGATTCATCAGCTAATCGGTTCATTGACTGCCGATTAAACGTTTAATTGCTCGAATGTTTCGAATTTGGCCTCGCGTTTAGAAAATTATTTCTCAAAAATTTGAGCGACACGAAAAAAAAGTTGTTAAAATTTTTCCTCTTGACGCGAATTTATTACGGCACCCGTAACGAGGCTGCCACTCGAAGTTGTTTTTTTTTAATTAATAACGCCAGCCGAGAGGCTGTTTGCTTTGTAAATCGGTGGGCACTTTAAACCCTTGCACTATTTGTCAGCTGTGTCAACTAATCACGTATTGAAAGGAAGTTGATACGTGTCGACAAATAACTTGAATATTAGGGTGTGTTACTTCAAAGTGATCGTGGTTAATTAAAGTTGATTACGGGGGTGCGTTAGAAAATAATGCAAGGTTGTGTGCACGTTCTGCTGAACCAAACTTTTAAAAGTTATATAGATACGTTTTGTTTGAAATTAAATATCGAGGTTCATTTAGATTATTTAATGTTTAATTCTGTTCAAAATTTTCGGTTCATTATTCATAAATTAAGTATATTGAAGTTCATTTAGATTGCTTCATATTCAATTTCGTTCAAAATTTTGTTTCAGATCATTATTCATAGGTAAAGTATATTGAGGTTCATTCAGATTACTTCATATTTAATTTTCTTTCAGTCTATTCTTCATAAATAAAGTATATCGAGGCTCATTTAATCCCTTGCATTATTTTGACGAGTCTGTCACGTGACGCACTCGGACTTCGGCCGTGATCAATTTCACTCGAATTTTTAATACACTTCAATTTGGAGTTCAAGTCTAATTATAATTTGCATAGTCAACGATTGCATAATAACATATTGACATAACATTTTTAATTTTCTTGTCCATTTTAATATTGCAGCTGTAATTAGTCAGCTCTGACTGACACACCTGACAAATAAATTATAGTGCAAGGGGTTAAATTACTTCATATTTAATTTCGTTCAAAATTATGTTTCAGTTAATTCTTCATAGATGATGTATATCGAGGTACATTTAGATTACTTCGTATTTAATTTTGTTTCAGTTCATTCCTCATAGATAAAGTATGTCGAGGTACATTTAGATTACTTCATATTTAATTTCGTTTCAATTAATTCTTCATATATAAAGTATATCGAGGTACATTTAGATTACTTCATATTTAATTTCGTTAAAAATTTTGTTTCAGTTAATTCTTCATAGATAAATAATATCGAGGTGCATGTAGATTATTTCATATTTAATTTCGTACAAAATTTTGTTTCAGTTAATTCTTCATAGATAAAGTATATCGAGGTGCATTTAGATTACTTCATATTTAATTTTGTTTCAGTTCACTCCTCATAGATAAAGTATATCGAGGTGCATTTAGATTACTTCATATTTAATTTCGTTCAAAATTTTGTTTCAGTTAATTCTTCATAGATAAAGTATATCGAGGTGCATTTACATTACTTCATATTTAATTTTGTATCTGTTTATTCTTCATAAATAAAGTATATCGAGGTTCATTTAAATTACTTCATATTTAACTCCATACAATATCTTATTTCAGTTCATTCTTCATAAATAAAGAATATCGAGGCTCGTTTAGATTACTTCATATAAAATTTCGTTTCTGCTCATTCTTCATATATAAAGTATATCAAGGTTCATTTATAAACCTAACGAATGAAATGTTAATCGATGAACCGGTAAACACAGAATAAATAAAGTACCGCATCAGGTAGTTGACCGTGCCGTTGCGATATATCCGCAGAGCGAAATGCACGGGTATGAGCGGATCCTTAAAATCCCCGTGCATTATGAAGTACGTGTCCGGCAACCAGATATCGTCGTAGTGATGAATCGCGTTCAAGAACTCGTATTGCGATCGGTTGCTGTAGCGCAATCGAGGATCGTACCACTGTTGTTGTAACAAGAACTCCACCTCGTATTTCTGTCGATCGAAAAGCAACGATCGTTATAATATATTGGCTTTGAAGGTAAGCCTCGATCGGTGAGGAAACGATAATTACCAGACTGGACTCGTCCGGAGAAGCCAAACTCAGCAACAGCACGCTCACGTTTACTGTCAAGGTTCCTGAAACATAGCGATTACGATTGTAAGCTCGGTCGGGAAATGTGATGCGAGAGAGCACGCTCGTTCGAGATACTCTTTCGAGTAACCCTTTGCAACATTATTTAGTTTAATATAATTTGAAATTAATATTTTTTATGTTTATAGTTTTGTTCGTTTGATGCATATGTTAGTATGTACATAATGTATTAACATATGTATATGATGCATACATATGATGTTTACACATATACATATGATACACATGATACATATGACACGTATGATGTATAGACATACACATGTGATACACATGATACATATGACACATGTGATGTATAGACATACACATATGATATATATGATACATATGATATATATGACACACATATGATATACACATGATGTGTAAACATATACATATGATACATACATGATACATATTAACATATGCATATAACACATGATGTATGAACGTACACATATAATACATATGATACATGTGACATATATGGTACATGATACATATAAGCATATGTATATGACCCATATGATGTATGAACATGTACATATGATACATATGACACATGATACATATAAACATATGCATATGACACATGATGTATGAACATATACATATGACACATATGATACATGATACATATAAACATATGCATATGACACATGATGTATAAACATGTACATATGACACATATGACACATGATACATATAAACATATGCATATGACACATGATGTATAAAGACACGATACATACGTACATATGTACATCATAACATGTGATGTATAAAAATAACAGAACAGACAATATTCAATTTTTAATACAAAAATAATAACCTTTAATGAAGTAAAATTAGAATGAAAAGATTTTGAGGTAGATGAGCAAAAATAGGTTGCAAAGGGTTAACCGGTCAATTACCAGCACGAATTAGCGTGACTTGGAACCGATCGACCTTCACCAGACGTAAAGATTAGAACGGTAAAAACCTACGGAAACGCGAAGAAATCTCTTCTACGTCTGCGCAAGCTGTCGCCGTAATTGCAAAAGCGTCGTTAGAAGAGCCATGCTGTGCACATGCTGCGACTAAATTTTGTATTCTGTATTAGCGTGAAACTCGTGGCCGGGAGTTAGGACTCGGGAACCTCCGACCTTAGCTAATCGGTCGATTATTAACTAGTAACGAGCTAAAGGACCAAGGATCAAGGATTGAGAGGATTTCGATCGCGTAATTTAATTGATAACCGGTAACCGAGGCTCACGTTCTCCCCGATCGTTGGTTCGCAACCGGTTAACGAGTCCCAACCGCCGATCCACTCGTCAACGCTAGACACGAGAAACGAGTGTTTGGTACGCTGTAGTGTAGAGAGCGGATGGATCACGGGACAGGAATGAGATGACATTCATAATCGAGGCAGTTTTTATTAGAATCGAAAAAAAAATAGAGAAAAAGATCGATATCGTTGTAAACACACGGTCTCGTGGCTGGTTTTCGATAAGAAGCCGACCTGTGCGCTATTATACCGGTTAACGAGAGTTAATCGGTTGTCGGATCGAACGCGAACACCCGACCCGGGAAAAAAACGTTAGATGCATTTCGCGATCGGTTAGCCATCGTTTTATGTTTCCTTGACACGAACGTTTCGATCGAGTGCAAAGGGTCGAAAAGTTGTACTCGACCTGTTCAGGGATACGCTTACTGTCGATGGACTTTTTCGTGAACTTCTCGTGCGTGTGTATGCGTGTGCGCGTGCGCGCGTGTGTACTTGCACGCGTTCGAGGTAATCGAAGGTTTAGGTCGAACCTCGTGCGAATCGTAAAAGCAGTTCGTCGACAAAATACGGAACAAAGAACGCTTTTCAAAAGCAGCTTTTTTCTTTTATTTCTTTCTTTACCGCGCGCACGCAAACTCGTTTAGCGAGGGAGAAGAAACGTATACTTTCGATCGACCTAGAAACCCTCGTGAAAATATTAGACGAGCAACCCATTCAGGATTCAATTTCCGCTGCTCGACGCCAGTTCTCGAACAACGGGGTACACTGTTTCGGATTCGTTGCTTTTTTTCGGATTCAGAAGGGCTTTCTTCTCGGTTAGGTTCGTCTAATTAACCCTTTGCGCTCGGGAGGTTCGATTAAAATTATTTGAAATAAGCTTTTTTGGGTGATGTACATAGTGTGTAGCGAGCAACGAAACAACCACTCTACAAGTTCTCTACAAACAACTAAACCCATCACTACATAAGTTCCTTATAGATACACATTTTGTTGAAATACATTCTTTGAAATCAGCATTGATTTTCATGAAAATAAAGAATAAATGCATTTACTAATTTATGTTTGGTTTGTTTATTATTCTTTAACTTATGTGATGTATAAACATAGAAAAACAATAGTGCAAATCTGTAGACATAACCTCAATTCATTTAACTTAACTAGTAACACTGAAACAATCAAGCCCATCACTACATAAGTTCTTTATAGATACACGTTTTGTTGAAGTGCATTCATTGAAATCGACATTGATTTTCATCAAGGTAGAGAATAATGTAAGTACAATACTTATATACATAAATGACTAATTTAGGTTTTATTTATTTTTCAACTTCATTTTAAAACTTTATTTTCAAGCTTCATCTTCAAACTTCATCCTTAAACTTCATCTTGAAACTTCATTTTAAAACTTTATTTTTAAACTTCATCTTTAAACTTCATCTTAAAATTTCATTTTTAAACTTCATCTTTAAACTTCATTTTTAAAATTCATCTGTAAACTTCATTTTTAAAGTTCATTTATGAACTTCATTTTTATAATTAATTTTTAAACTTCATCTTTAAACTTCATCTTAAAAGTTCATTTTTAAAATTTATCTTTAAACTTCATCTTAATATTTCATTTTTAAAATTCATCTGTAAACTTCATCTTTAAAGTTCATTTATGAACTTCATTTTTATACTTAATTTTTAAACTTCATCTCTAAACTTCATATTAAAACTTCATTTTTAAAATTCATCTGTAAACTTCATTTTTAAAATTCATCTGTAAACTTCATTTTTATAATTAATTTTTAACTTCATCTTTAAACTTCATCTTTAAACTTCATCTTAAAATTTCATTTTTAAAATTCATCTTTAAACTTCATTTTTGAACTTGACTTTTGAGCTTCATTTTTACTATCAAACAATTGAAACCAGTGTGAGAACTAATTAAACCTCCCGAGTGTTCTTGAAATTTTCTCGACAGTCAATCGTCGAAAAAAACGCAAAAAAATCGATCATCGCGAGAAAGGTTAACGAACCGCAAGCCACGAACCACGAAACAGAGAGGAGACAGCAACGCGGTAACTGAATGGGTTGGGTCGGATGAAGATCGTAACAGGCTTAATTATTTTTCTAGACGAGGTTACGAGAGAAGTAAAAGCAGAAGGACGGACCGCGAAGGTGGGTGCGAAGGTGTTGACGCGACGTGTAGTGGTTATTGTTCTGGTTCTTGTACTGGTTCTTGGGGTCGTTAGAGGAGGTCGACGACCGATTTGACGAGCCGGTCGCGTCACCAGGCCATCGCATTCCGCAGCAGAAATCCGCATCTGTAACACCCAACAACTCTTGCCCACGTCTCATCCTTTTCTCCTCTTCTTCTTCTTCTCCATTTTGCTTCCGGTCTGTTCGATCCTACTCGCGAGCCGTTCGTTCCCAACACTAGCAAATATCCCGATAGGATACACCAGGAAAGTACCCTTAACTATTGTATCAACTGTGGTTCTCTTATGAAGAATTAATTCATTCTACTCTCGGAGGGTAGTTAAGATACTAAATTTCAGAAAATTTGAAAAAGTCACGAGATAGTTTAATATCTTTCTACTATAATTTCATGCTAGAATCCATGCAAGAATTTTCCATAAAAAATTTGTCTTTCATTTTTCACTCCAAAAGAGTCTTGAAAGATTCTGTAACATGCTTTATCGCGTGTACAGCATTCTGAAGTTCTTTGTAATTTTTGTATGAAAGTAGTGTGTCGATCCTGATATCACAATTACCCCGAAAGTTTGCGACTCTCGTGAAAAGGGTTCAAAGGGACTTTTGATCAGCTGGTGTATCCTTTGCTTTGTCCGATACTTCGACAATGGAAATTGATGAAAAGGGAGCCTCGCAAAGCCGTAGTCGGGATATTTGCCTGACGCCTTAACCCCGAAGACTTCGATAAACGTTTTTCAGTAGGAAAAAAATGTAGACAAAAGAAAAGAGCGACTACGTTCTGTTCAGAGAGACATTCCGACGCTCCACGTACGTTTAATGCTTTTTTCCAAAGTACTTATCGTTGTGCGTTTGGAAGTTCGGGCCATCCCATAGCGACCTCGTCGAACGGCGTTTTACGAGCAACTCGTTATCCGATCGAACAGCAGAGAGAATGGCAACGGGAAAAGTGGAGGTTGTACGTTTTCGTTAGAGTCTCGCCTGTGTGTGAATTTCTGTGACAGCCAACAACTCTCTTGCCCACGTCTCATCCTGTTTTCCGCCTCTATCTTCGCGCGAAACTAAACCGGGTTTCCTCGTCGACGCGCGCAATTATTTTGATCGTTGATTCTCACCGACGCGTCTCTCCGAACGCTACAGACGTTATTACTTAAAAAGAAAATTTCGCGGCCCGGTGACTCGAATCATCCTACCGTGTCGGGCCGACGTTAAGTCGCTTGTCCGATTAACCCGGGGGTATTCGCGTCATTTTTCGTTCGAAAAAGCCGCGTTTTTATCGATCGACGAAAGCGAAGGTAAGCGACACAGCTCGGATAGCAAGGCGTAAAATTAACTTCCAAAGAAAAAAAACAATTCCGGACGCAATTTTCATGCAATTCGAATTCCCGTCTCTCTTTCATTTCGACACTCTGCTCTTTCATTCTTTAATTTCTCTCGCGAGTTTACTTCTTTCTCGTTTCAAGATAGTTAGATTTCGTTGTCTTGACGTAGAGTCGCATTTGTTTAGGGCCATTTTGTTTTTTTACGGCCATATTGTTTGTTTAAGGCCATCTTGTTAGTTTAAGGCCACGTTGTTTCTTTTCGGCCATCTTGTTCGCGGCCATTTTGTTTCTTGACGGCCATCTTGTTAGCTTACGGCCATCTTGTTTCTTTACGACCATCTTGTTTACTTTAAACAACTCAAAATGTCTCAAACATCTTGCAAAATTCTACTTTATTAATCCTTTGCACTAGAAAGTTAAAACTTGCTACTGTCAATACTATTATTAATACTAATTGTTAGTAGAAAAAATAATAACCTCAACACTATTTAACTCTTTAACTATTATTTTTATAAGTGCTATATACAAACAGTAACAATCTCACAGTGCAAAGGTTTATGTCAAACTTTGAAACATGTTTGAGACAGACGCTAATCAAGATGTAAACAAGATAAACAACTAAGATGGCCGAAAGCAAACAAGTGCGACTCGTTACCGCGAAAAAGAGAAGTAATCGACGCGTCCCTTGTCTCTCGAATCGAGAAAACGTTCCACAGAGCGAAAAGAAGCATTCGGATACGCGATTGTTTTCTTCCGCTATTCTCGTACCCTTTTCATCCCTCTTCGCGCTCGTTGGCCGAACAAACGACGCCGGTGCTCGAGGGCGTCGGCGACTTTCTCCCTTCCTTCTGACACAAAGAAACAACCCTGACACGGCGTTTTTTTGCGCGAGCGATTCCTTTTTATTTCTCGAGCGAGACAGTTTGCACCTAATCAACGCGAGTTTCTACGACGATAAACGCGCGATATTCTTGGCACTTACGGAGAATCGAGGAACGAAAGACGAGACGGGAAATCGCGAGAGGCAGCTGAAATTCGTAGCACGTGTTCGATCGAAATTATTATTTTAAGCACGAATCTGTTTCACTAGGAAAATTTCACTTCGTTTGGAATGTGTTGCGATGTATAAAATATACAATCATCGTATACAGGGTACCTCACAATTATACACAAGGTGTAGTGTATACAACTGTAGCCTTGAAATGAGAGATAGCTGACGCGATTCTGAAGAAGATTTCCCTTTGCAGAAATGAGATTTGAAGCTTCGTTTCTGAATTATTAAGGAAAAACCAATCAGCGCGATTACGCATGCGCAGAGGTTCGAAGCTGTTCTCGCGGCTGCGCATGCGTAATCGCGCTGATTGGTTTTTCCTTAATAATTCAAAAACGAAGCTTCAAATCTCATTTCTGCAAAGGGAAATCTTCTTCAGAATCGCGTCAGCTATCTCTCATTTCAAGGCTACAGTTGTATACACTACACCTTGTGTATAATTGTGAGGTACCCTGTATACGATGATTGTATATTTTATACATCGCAACACATTCCAAACGAAGTGAAATTTTCCTAGTGAAACAGATTCGTGCTTAAAATAATAATTTCGATCGAACACGTGCTACGAATTTCAGCTGCCTCTCGCGATTTCCCGTCTCGTCTTTCGTTCCTCGATTCTCCGTAAGTGCCAAGAATATCGCGCGTTTATCGTCGTAGAAACTCGCGTTGATTAGGTGCAAACTGTCTCGCTCGAGAAATAAAAAGGAATCGCTCGCGCAAAAAAACGCCGTGTCAGGGTTGTTTCTTTGTGTCAGAAGGAAGGGAGAAAGTCGCCGACGCCCTCGAGCACCGGCGTCGTTTGTTCGGCCAACGAGCGCGAAGAGGGATGAAAAGGGTACGAGAATAGCGGAAGAAAACAATCGCGTATCCGAATGCTTCTTTTCGCTCTGTGGAACGTTTTCTCGATTCGAGAGACAAGGGACGCGTCGATTACTTCTCTTTTTCGCGGTAACGAGTCGCACTTGTTTGCTTTCGGCCATCTTAGTTGTTTATCTTGTTTACATCTTGATTAGCGTCTGTCTCAAACATGTTTCAAAGTTTGACATAAACCTTTGCACTGTGAGATTGTTACTGTTTGTATATAGCACTTATAAAAATAATAGTTAAAGAGTTAAATAGTGTTGAGGTTATTATTTTTTCTACTAACAATTAGTATTAATAATAGTATTGACAGTAGCAAGTTTTAACTTTCTAGTGCAAAGGATTAATAAAGTAGAATTTTGCAAGATGTTTGAGACATTTTGAGTTGTTTAAAGTAAACAAGATGGTCGTAAAGAAACAAGATGGCCGTAAGCTAACAAGATGGCCGTCAAGAAACAAAATGGCCGCGAACAAGATGGCCGAAAAGAAACAACGTGGCCTTAAACTAACAAGATGGCCTTAAACAAACAATATGGCCGTAAAAAAACAAAATGGCCCTAAACAAATGCGACTCTACGTCAAGACAACGAAATCTTTATTCAGAATCAGGCCCCCTTGGTACCTACGCTAGTTGTGAGACACCCTGTATCACGAGCAGAACCTATCACGTCGCCCGTTTCTTCGAACGGATAATTAGACTCTTTCGATTACCCGGCATCTTTTGTTTGCCGAGATGAAAGTCTTAGGATGTTTCCGCTGGATAATGGATACCGGATAATCCTTTCAGCTCCTCGTTTATCGCGGACGACTTTATTCGACCGAAATTTTCTATTCGACGAGATATCGTGGTCTCTAAGATTAATATTGGCAAGGAGAGCGAAACGAAAACGAGACGTTTTCTACGACAGCTACGAACAAGTTTCGAAACTTTCGAAGTTTTCCCTTGGAGAGCGAGATAAATCGCGGGGAAATAATTCAGCGCGGTTGTCGCTAAACGGAGGAGGCAATTTCTTCGCCCCCCGAGGATACAAAGAAACCGCGGCTGTACTCGGGTAAATTATTAAGAAATAAAATTAGAATCGCAACACGATTTTTTACCGTGCTCCTCGCGTCACGATTCCATCCATCCGCGTCGGGTCTCGGATAGAAAAAGAAAATTCTGTCCTCGACCCGCTTCTGCCTATAAATATTCCCGTTACAAGAACGAATCGAGTGGGAAAAAGATAAGCGAAACTCGACGTTAATCGCGAATTTTCCTGTCGACCGAACCTTCGCCTTTCCGACAAATTCGAATCCACTCGTCGATCAGCTAACTTTATTATTCGTCCGGATAACCGGCGGAGCGTGCCGTGACAATTCGAGCGCGCAAATCGCTCCCGATACGCGCCTCGCCGCAATACAAGGAGCTTTCCTCGAGATGTCCCGTCGCAAAGATTAATCGGTAGGTGAATTCGCGTCCGAACAAATCTAGGCCGAACATGATACTGAATAATGATACTCAAACATGATATTCAATAATGATATTCAAACATGATACTGAATAATGATATTCAAACATGATACTCAGTAATGATATTTAAAAATGATACTCAATAATGATATTCAAACATGATACTGAATAATGATATTCAAACATGAAACTCAATAATGATATTCAAACATGATACTCAATAGTGATATTCAAACATGATGCTCAACTATGATATTAATGTACGATAATCAACTATGATACTCTACTATGATATTCAACTATGATGTTCAACTCTGGTATTCAACTATGATGTTCAACTATGATATTCAACTATGATGTTCAACTATGATATTCAACTATGATGTTCAACTATGGTATTCAACTATGATACTCAACTATGGTATTCAACTATGATACTCAACTATGATATTCAACTATGATATTCAACTCTGGTATTCAACTATGATATTCAATTATGATATTCAACTATGATGTTCAACAATGATATTCAACTATGATGTTCAACAATGATATTCAACAAATCTGGGCCATCATCGATTCGTATCGTTTGAAAGCGAGCATTTTCGTGACGTCACCAGCCACTAGACACCGGACGAGGGCTTTATTTCGCCGACAAAACGCTTCAATTTACGCGTAGAATTAGTACTCGGCGTAATTAGAAAGCTCGAATCGAAATTTGTCCTAGAAATGTGGATGGTAAAAACGGGGCAAGTTTTCGCTGGCACGTTCTCAAATTCGACAGAGATGCGACTTCTCGGGAAGAATCGTTCCGCAAATTTATTACCGCCTCGAATTGAATTTCCAACGGTCTCTGTAAACAGCTGTTGGCCGAGAGCCCCTAGCGATAGAGTATTGGACGACGGTTCGGTCAACTCTCGTTCGTCGTACCACGCGTCGCCAGCTCGTTTCGTTCTCCTTTCGGCCAAAAGCGATTTCGCGATCATCCATCCATCCACTCGCTCTCGTGTTCTTGTTCTTGTGCCGTTTCAGCGTGATCGGGTCGATTTCTATATAAGAGTACCCTTTAGACGAGGGGTGAGCAGTGAGCTGTGGTTGTGTGGTGCTGTATCGTGGTTGCGGTGCCGGTGGTGTACGAGGTGCTCTGGATGATCGGAGTGATTGGGTACGAGGTGGTGGTGGTGGTCAGGGGTGTAGTCGTCTTGGCGGGTGTGGGGCGGGGGCCTCAGTGTACCTTGGACCGGGGGCAGAAGCCGCTTGTCGTAACGCGTCGACAGCAGCAGGTTGTCCAGGATCTCCTTGTCCGATTTGCCCTCCTCGAAGCTGCAACACAACGCATTGTAGCTAGCCCCGGAACCACCGTCATCGATCTTCTCCACGGTCTTTCCTTTATCTCCTCCTATCCTTTTCCTCCGAAGGTCGACAAATTCTTTCTGAGGAGCTTCCTCCCGAGGAAAGGACTTTACGACCTTCGCTTTCTGCGTACACGCGGTCATCCGAACAAGGTACAGCTCTAAACGCACTATGCGAGTTCTACCTTCGAGCCAAATTTGTCTGCGAACTAGATCGCTAAGATTCGGAAACTCGTCTACGTGGACTAAACGATGCAACCGACACGCCAATCGAGGTCTCAAACACGTTTTAAAATTCGACATTAATCCTTTATAAGGTTTTACTGTTTGCATACAGCAACTTTAAAAATAGTAGTCGAAGAGTTAAGTGAATAAGTTTTATCTTTATGGTAAATCTTGAGTTCCAAATTTGCAACGATCGGCGTGCCAACGTTTGCGTAATATCGAACGTAGAACGAGTAAAGAGCCCCCTCTTTCTATCACATGCAAAGAAACATCGTTGGAATAATCGAGTAGGTCGTCTACTCTATCCTCGCTATAACGTACCCTCGATCCTATCGCAAGCAACAAAGTGTTCTACGCTAGTCTCCCTCGATTTCGCGAAGCGGTAGATCGAGAGATCGAGAGAGAACGTTGAAAAATGGTAATTAACGTGTTTCGTGATACGTACATGTCCTCGGCGCGCACTAGAGTGACAAGAGTGAGGGCAAGTGTGAGGATACAGAGGATGGTGAAGATGAGGGAGCTTGCGAGGGAGGTGAGAGACAGCGAGAGGACGGACGAGAGGCGGCCGCCACCACCCGCACACCGCCCTAGCGCCACCCAACCCATTCTATGTCATCTGAAACAGAAAGCACGTTTACTTTATTATCTTCTGAAAAATACAGAAATCGATAGACTCGAATAACAAAGGACGTCCGATAAATAACGGATCCCTCGGTTCAATTATATTTAAAGAGGGTGAAAGGTCGAAAATGCTGCACTTTTGATACACGACCTTTCCCTCCGTCCATAAGTAGCCGACCCACGGGGTACGACGACCCGAGCGGACGATCCCTTTTCGACAAATCGAGGTCGGGGACATGAATAAGAGAACCCAAATTTCAAAGCTCAAACGTCTATCCCTCGACTACCATTGTCTCCGATAATCTTTAGAATCTCAAAACAAAGTAACTCGACCATCATCTTTTCTTTCTTCGTATTCCCTGCTCGTGCCACGGAATTTCCTCTTTACTTCTTTCTCTACTTTCTTTTTTTCCTTTAAAGTATATTTTCGGAAAGCCCATAATCTTTACAGCTGTTGTTTAAGTTTAACGTACCTTAAAACGGTACTGTAGCATATTTCAAAACTAAAACTACCTAATCGGTCAAATGCTCCACAAGTTTCTCATTATAAGGTACACATTTTGCTAAAGTACATTTATTGAAATCGACATTGATTTCCATCAAGATGAAGAATAAATGCGTGTACTAATTTTGTTTGATTATTATTCTTTAACTTACGTGATGTATAAACATAGAAAAACAATAGTGCAAATCTGTAGACATAACCTCAATTCATTTAACTTAACTAGTTAACACTGAAACGATCAAACCCATCACTACATAAGTTCTTTATAGATACACATTTTGTTGAAGTACATTCATTGAAATCAACATTGATTTTCATCAAGATAAAGAATAAACGCATGTACTAATTTATGTTTTATTTGTTTATTATTCTTTAACTTAAGTGATGTATAAACATAGAAAAACAATAGTGCAAATCTGTAGACATAACCTCAATTCATTTAACTTAACTAGTTAACACTGAAACAATCAAACCCATCACTACATAAGTTCTTTATAGATACACATTTTGTTGAAGTGCATTCTTTGAAATCAACATTGATTTTCATTAAGATAAAGAATAATGTATGTACAATACATTTATACATAAATGACTAATTTATGTTTTATTTATTTTTCAACTTCATTTTAGAACTTTATTTTTAAACTTCATCTTTAAACTTCATCTTTAAACTTCATTTTAAAACTTCATCTTAAAATTTCATTTTTAAAATTCATCTTTGAACTTCATCTTTAAATTTCATTTTTAAACTTCATTTTCAAACTTCATTTTTGAACTTCGCCTTTAGAATTCATCTTTAAACTTCATTTTTGAACTTCATTTTAAAACTTCATATTAAAATTTCATTTTTAAAAATCATCTTCGAACTTCATCTTTAAATTTCATTTTTAAACTTCAGTTTCAAACTTCATTTTTGAACTTCGCCTTTAGACTTCATCTTTAAACTTCATTTTTGAACTTCATTTTTAAACTTCATCTTAAAATTTCATTTTTAAAATTCGTCTTTGAACTTTATCTTCAAATTTCATTTTTAAACTTCATTTTTGAACTTTGCCTTTAGACTTCATTTTTAAACTTCATTTTTAAAATTCATCTTTAAACGGCGTTTGATAAGCCGGTAGGAGAAATGTCGGTTTGCGTCTTTCGAGCCGTATTCTTCGAATGTGCGACGTCGTTGTGTAGAAGAGGCGTTATCAAAGCGTTCGCGTCTAAGTTGACCGTGGTGGAAAGCCTCGTAGCTGAAGTCCCTCGCTTTTCGAGCACGTTGTCGCGCACCAGTGTTCCGAGTATCTTCGCGAACGCGTCGAGCACCGTTTTCGCTCTTGTTCTTCGACCCTTCAGTTTCCAGGCTCTTTTTTCGGTCGCGCCGCTGAAAATTTTCCTTAGCTGCTCGAGTTAACGAAGCTCCAAAGGAGACTACCTTCTCCAAAGGAGCTTCCTTAAGAAGCTCGCGTTCGAAAATCCTTCGGCAAACGAGCCTTTCAATTAGGTTTCGAACCGAGTATCGAACGAATTGCCATGTCCTTAATTTACACAAATCCTATCAGTACGGCTAGCCGCGGTAACGAGATTTTAAGCCATCGGGGAAAACGGAAACTAGCCTTTTCCCGCGTCAAATTGGCAATCGGTGTCTTCCAGCTCTGCGGCTTCTAATCCAATATGGCTAAGACCGTACGAATCAACGTTTAGACGCGAAGCTTCCTTTCTGCGAACAAATCGAGCACGCCAGATTAATCGTGGAAGGTCGAACTGTATTTTACTTTGCGTGTTTAAACTAGGCGACAATAAAAATTAATTAAAAATTGCCTGATCCTAGGTTTCGTAGTAGGAATAGCTGAGAGTAGGTATAAAATGTGATACTATATAAGGAAACAATTTATAGACACACACAATTAATTTTAAATACCCACTAATATGTAAGGAAACAATGTAGAGACAGACAAAATTAATTTTAAATACTCAATACTATAAAACGAAACAATTTAGAGACAGACACAATCAATTTTAAGTACACAAGTTTAATGAATTGGATGAAGGTATGATTTCGACGGAGTACTTCATAATGCGCACGCGCATACGCATGCGCGGAGTGCACAAATATGGCGGTCGGAGAAGAACAGTTTAAACTTGCACATTCATTAATAATTTATTTGTAATAAATAATGTAGTTGCTTTGTAATATATTCATGTGTATTTTCTTGTGATATATAGCTTGTTATGAATTGGGGATGAAGGTACGATTTAGACAGAGTACTTCGTAATGCGCACGCGCATACGCATGCGCAGAGTGCACGAATATGGCGGTCGGAGAAGAATAGTTTAAACCTGCACACTTATCAATAATTTATTTGTAATAAATAATGTAGTTGCTTTATAATATATTCATGTGTATTTTCTTGTGATATATAGTTTGTCATTTTCTTCTAAGTTATTTAAATAAATGTGTCGCCTTTTTCTTTACTCTTTGTTACAAGTACGAAGTCTTTGAAGACGAAGACAAACGCTACGATAACTTCATAACTTACATTCTTTAATAATGTAGTTGTTTTGTAATATATTCATGTGTATTTTCTTATGATGCATAGCTTGTCATTTTCTTCTAAATTATTTAAATAAATGTGTCGCCTTTTTCTTTATTTTTTGTCACAGGTACGAAGTCCTTGAAGATGAAGATAAATGCTACGATGACTTCATAACTTACATTCTTTAATAATGTAGTTGCTTTGTAATATATTCATGTGTATTTTCTTGTGATACATAGTTTGTCATTTTCTTCTAAATTATATAAATAAATATGTCGCTTTTTTCTTTATTTTTTGTCATAGGTACGAAGTCCTTGAAGACGAAGACAAACGCTACGATAACTTCATAGCTTACATTCTTTAATAATAATTGTAATAATATTGTCTTTAATAATATTCCCATTAATAATATTGTCTCTAATAACAAATGTTACTTGATATTTCGTCTGCGATTCTCATTCACCCCACCTGAAAAGGAATACACAGTGCAGATCGGCTCGATATCGGAAGCGGTTCGAGTAAATATCGTATCCGAAATTTCTCCGCTTCCGTTCTCCAGAATCCGATAACGGTACAAACTAATTTCTGCTTGGCAATCGAAACCGTCGAAATTTCGACCTGGGGCAGGAAAATTAAACGATTACCAATGGGACTGCAGGTAGCCCGAATCGAACAACGGACTAATTAGACTACTAGTCAGCAGGGAACGTGCCCTTTGGAAGAAACGTCGCATCCTTAGAACAAAGGGATGGTTCGAAAAAGGGGGTAGCTCGAGGCGTTCAGTAGCTAAGGGGTTCGCGTCGGAACGATTTAACGCGACGTGTTTTCCAAGTTGCCTCGTTTTCTCGCGCAAAAGACACGATCGGCCTCTCGAAGTCTGCCCCGGGCATTTCCAGAAGTGCCACGTGTTTGCGGTGGCCTACTCGACCAGTTTAAACCGCGCCAGCTAAACTTATCGGGGATCAACCAGTTGCGTGTTTCGATCGATCGACCGCGGACAATTTTTTTTCGACGCGTTACTACGACAATTAACTCTTTAACGGTTTTATCGGCGCAAAAGGGTAAGAGATAGTCATCAAATTTTATTACTGTCGACTTTATTTTGTTATACAAAGTTTTAGGACAGCGAAGCTGAAGTTTAGTAGCTTCTGAGGATATCTGGCGGTCACTTAACTGGCGTGCATACGAGTTTAACGCGGGATGTGCGATCAAGATGGGTCTTAGATTTCTTATTTTATAGTGTGAAGCTGAGAAGGAAGTTTGGGTAAAAATGTTAACTTTAGAGGAAGAGTTATTGTATGAGACAGAATCATTGTATTGTTCATTTATTTTTTTGGTTTAGTTTCAATTTAAGAGTCAGTGATGTGACATCTGTAATCACGCCATCTGTGTCTCTGTGTATGTGTCTCTGTGTCTCTGTCTCTGTGTCTCTGTCTCTGTGACTATGTCTCTATGTCTCTGTCTATGTGTCTCTGTGTCTCTCTGTCTCTGTCTCTGTGTCTCTCTGTCTCTGTCTATGTGTCTCTGTGTCTCTCTGTCTCTCTGTCTCTGTGTCTCTCTGTGTCTGTCTATGTGTCTCTGTGTCTCTCTGTGTCTGTCTATGTGTCTATGTGTCTCTCGGCCTCTGTCTCTATGTCCCTGTGTCTCTATGTCTCTGTGTCTCTATGCTCTATGTCTCTATGTCTCTCTATGTCTCTGTGTCTCTATGTCTCTGTCTCTGTGTCTCTATGTCTCTATGTCTCTGTGTCTCTATGTCTCTGTGTCTCTATGTCTCTGTCTCTATGTCTCTGTGTCTCTATGTCTCTGTGTCTCTATGTCTCTGTGTCTCTATGTCTCTGTGTCTCTATGTTTCTATCTCTATGTATCTGTGTCTCTCTGTGTCTATCTCTATGTCTCTATGTCTCTGTGTCTCTATGTCTCTGTGTCTCCACGTCTCTGTCTCTGTCCCTCTGTCTCTAAGTCTACTAA